GAGGCCTAGCTAGATCGTGCACCTGGCGCAGCCTGGGTGAGGCCTGGTTGACAGTGCACCTGGCGCAGCCTGAGTGAGGCCTGGTTAATCATGCACAAGGCGCAGCCTGAGTGAGGCCTGGTTGACAGTGCACATGGCGCAGCCTGAGTGAGGCCTAGTTAATAGTGCGACGGACCACAAGCTGTGTTCCTGCCAAGGCGGCATTGCCACGGACCCCAAGCTGTGTTCCTGCCAAGGCAACATTGCCACGGACTCCAAGCTGTGTTCCTGCCAAGGCAACATTGCCACAGACTCCAAGCTGTGTTCCTGCTAAGGCAACATTGCCATGGACCCCAACCTGTGTTCCTGCCAAGGCAACATTGCCACGATTGCCACAGACTCCAAGCTGTGTTCCTGCTAAGGCAACATTGCCATGGACCCCAACCTGTGTTCCTGCCAAGGCAACATTGCCACGGACTCCAAGCTGTGTAAATGCCAAGGCAACATTGCCATGGACCCCAACCTGTGTTCCTGCCAAGGCAGCATTGCCACGGACCCCAAGCTGTGTAAATGCCAAGGCAACATTGCTACGGACCCCAAGCTGTGTTCCTGCCAAGGCAATATTGCCATGGACCTCAAGCTGTGTTCCTGCCAAGGCAACATTGCGACGGACCCCAAGCTGTGTTCCTGCCAAGGCAACATTGCCACGGACCCCAAGCTATGTTCCTGGAAAACTTCACAGAGATCGTCAAGACGGCCAAGGGTGGTGAATGAAGAGTCCCCTGTGTGGGCTTCAGTGGGGCCGTCTGGTCAGGCAGCAGAGACACGAGAAGCCAAGAAACGACATTCCAGTTCGTGGGCTGAGCTCTAGGAGGGCTAGCTCGAGCACCATCCTGCGGCGGGGAAAGGAGGTGGTGCAAGCGGTTCAGCCGAGCCCACAACAGCAAAAAATCTGCTGTCCCTGTCTGGGAAGGGGGGGGGGGCGCTGTTAAACCCGAGCACATGGGCGAGAAGCCGTGCATGTGTGACGAGTGCGTCAAGACTTTTTCTCGCGCTCGGCCTACAAGTATATATATTTTTTCTTTTCCGCTTGTGTGTTAATCTGTTTACCCCGGATATTTTAGAGATGGCAATTCTCCTGCTGTGTATCCTACTGCTGTCCCTCCCGGCCATATCTAGTGCCACACTCAACTCTACAAACAGCTACCCTCGTTACTTTGAGTCCATACTTGTTGCTCGATTTGCCACTACACCTGCTAATGAAACAGCTCATAGACACTTCTACATTCCATCATTGTATCCTTTTAAACCCTATCTTTGTCCCATTACTTCACCAGCACTCCTTCCAAACTTCATTCTGCTCTTAAAAATAACACCATCTGCGAGCTAATGCTATTCGTCCAAGGTTCGCCGCTCTTCATGCATTCACAGAAAATACTTGTGCAAACTATTAATTCTACTTTTCTTATTTCTGGGTGGTATTGAGCTTCATCCTGGCCCAAATGAAAATAACTCGTAAAATTCTGTATATTTTTCTGGCAGGAAAGGTGTTGGTGTTCTACATGTCAACATCAGAGGGCTTGTGATTAAATTAGGTCAACTAAAACTAGAAGTGGCAAATCTTGACCCGGACATTTTTTGCCTAACAGAAATATTTCTCACTCCTGCCGTCAATGACTTGCAGATTGCGATTGACAACTACAACCTTTTTCGGCTTGACCGAGGATCTAAAGGAGGTGGAATTGCCATCTATGTTCGTAATAATATTGCATGTTCACTAGCTCACTCCTTGTTTAAAAACTGTTGCTTTGAAGGTCTGGCTCTCAGAATAACTCTCCCAAATAATCAACAGATATTGGTAGTGTGCTGCTAACGACCGCCTAGTGGGAAGGATGTTGAAGCTGCATCTGCACTGAGAGAGCTTTTTGGGGGCCTCCCCAAAGGTGAAATAGTTTTAGTGGGTGATCTAAATTGGAATTGGCTAAACCCGCCGGCCGTGGCCACAAATTTTGCAGATGAATTTAATCTGTTTCAATTAATAAATGTCCCCACAAGACCCAACCTAAAAAATCCGGGACAGTCATCTCTGCTTGACGTCCTATTGACAAATGCCCCTCACAATTTCACACTGACTGGTGTTCTGGGTAATGACCTTAGTGATCACTCCTTCATTTTTGGGGTGAGATCATAAGTCAGACCCAAAGCTCCCCCTAAATTGGTTGAGAAGCACTCTATGAGACACTTCAGCACTCAGGCATTTAGTAATGATGTGCTTCACTCGGATATTGACAAGGTCTGTGATATCCCCAACCTGACTACGGCTTGGGAGACCTTCAGGTACACGTTTCTCCAAATTATTAACAAACATGCTCCGTTGGTTAGATTTAAAACTAAAGGCAACCGCCCACCACGGTTTGATCCTTTGATTACAAAGCTCATGAAAACTAGGGACAAGGCTTGGGTATGTGCTTAGAAAAGTAATTTGGTCAATGACTGGCTAGAATACAGAATTTTAAGGAATAGATGTGTCAAAAATATACGGCATGCAAAAAATGCCTACTTTTCCTCCACTCTCCTGGAATCACATGGAAATGCCAGGATTTTCTGGAAAACAATCAAATGTATTGAAAAGGCATCCAAAACAGACAATCTGCCCGTTGAGCTTAACCGAAATGGGGGATATTTTTCAGATCCCAAAAAAATAGTTGACAATTTTAACCTTCATTTTTCTGAAGCTAATAATATTTTTGATAATGTATTGGGAGTCACCCCTGCTCATGCAAATTCCTACACCTCTGTCCAAACATTAAACGAATTTAGTTTCCAGCCAATCCACGAAAGTAATGTTCTGAAATAACTATCCTACCTCAAAGTGTCCTCCTCTACCGGAGCAGATAGTATTCCTATCTTTGCTCTACTAACTGCTATTGCCAATGAACTGCAACTTGAATCGCTACCAATGAGATATCTCAAAACTGCTCTAGAGGAGTTGTACACCCCTAGCTGCCACTGCTATTCATTGGCGTAAAATAAAATAAACTGTTTCGCTCCGGATAACGCTGCAAAGTATTATTTGTATTTTGATTTAGCGTGCTGATCTTAAAGGTGCATTGAAAAAATTAATACTCTGACTGATGCTTCTGTTTTGATTTAAAGCTTTCGTGACTGCAGTAATCCATATTCTTAGCTCTTTCGGTAAAGTCACGTTGAAGGGAAACAATAAAATAATAAAATATATATAAAACAATAAAAAATTATCACGACGTTTCGACCATAACACAAACGGTCGTCATCAGATGTGTCGGTTCGCATAAATGTATTTATTTGTAAACGGTGTATTTATTTATTTATTTATAAAAAAAAGAACGTCAGCGCCACGCGCAGCAATTTAGCAGTTTATTTAGAAGGACTAGTCCTTCTATGTTCTGAAAAAGGAGGGGGGAGACGAAAAATTAATGTATGCTGTCTGAAAGCCACTGTAAGCGTGAACAATCAATTAAGACCTGAAATGGTTAATCAAATCTTTCCAATGATTGCTAAGCCAGAATCCATCTTCTCGGTTGAAATTGTCTCTGTGCTTGTATATGTGGATAGCCTCATGAACGAATCTCTCATGGTAGCCAGATGGCTTACAAATAACCTCTGTCTTGGAAAAGTCAATGTCATGTGAGCCTACTGAATTATAACAATGATCTGCCACGGCCGAGGTGTTGGTCCTACCGTGTTTAAGGTCTGCTTTGTGTTCACGAATGCGGTCCGAGACATGGCGTTTGGTTTCTCCAATGTAACTACTACCACAGAGGCAACTTAGTTTGTAGACACCAGGGTACTGTATGTCCGGAATCACATCTTTTACAGACGGAACCAGATCACGGATTTTATGTAATGTGTTGAAACGGACCTGGATCTTGTGTTTATTCAAGATTTTTGAGATCTTTTTTGTGATCCCCGCAATGTAGGGTAAAGTGATGGTTTTGAAAGGCTCCTCAAGAGGATCCTTCTTCATGGTTTGAGTGATAGCTTTACGAATTGTATAGTCGGAGTAACCATTAGCCTTAAGAGCTTGGTGTACGTGCTTGAGTTCACTGCCTATGTGTTCCTGGTCGGATATGCATTGGGTTCTATGGTACAGAGTCTTGATGAGAGAATTCTTCTGTGATGGATGGTGGTGGGAATCCGGTTTCAGATAAGCATCCGTATGGGTAGCTTTCCTGTAGACAGAGTGGCTCATTGAACCATAAATAAATAAATTTATGCAAACCGACACACCTGATGACGACCGTTTGTGTTATGGTCGAAACGTCGCGATAATTTTTTATTGTTTTATATATATTTTATTATTTTATTGTTTCCCTTCAACGTGACTTTACCGAAAGAGCTAAGAATATGATGCTTATGTTGTTGTGGAGTAACTCATGCAGCCAGCTATGGCTCTAGGATTTGGTGTTACATGTTATTTATGTAGTTTATTGTAAAAATTCGGTCACAGTCCCTATGATCACTGTTACGTTGCAATTATGGCTTTATTGTTTGGTGATTTCGAAAAGTTTTTTGGTTTGGACATGTTTGTTTTGTTGTAGTACGGAGTTAGGCTGATGGCCTTAAGCTAAGTTTTCTTGTGGTTGTTGTTGTTGTTTGACTTGCATCCCACTGGGATTTTTTGCACACAGCGTTGGTGTACGGTGCTTTTTTCAGGAATATTTTGCTGTTTTTTTCATGGATTTTCTGTTTGCACAGTCACATAGTCACTTTAAGATGTTGTCTTGTTCGTGTTTTTTGTTTTTTTGTTTGTTGTGGTTGCAACCAATTCAAGAGCCGAATGGCTCACAGGGCTATACCAAAATAAATAAACTGAAAACTGAACTGAGCTGGTGGTCAAGATAAGGCTGAGGAGTACTGTAACATGCAATGTGGTGGTCACATGGCATGCATTCAAGGGATGCCTGTCACGTGTGTATCGGCACAGTGTAGTGGTGTGTATCGGCACGGTGTACCGTGACACTTTGTGCTGGGCTCCGTACCAGTTGTTGACCTGCAGGATGGTAAGGCCCGTGTCCTGGGCCAGCTGCTTCTTCTGCTCTTCTGAAGGGTATGGGTGCTGTGGAGAGAGGAGGCACACGGTCGAGTTCAGTGAGGTTAGGCGCTTGCACGAGCCCTGGGCCAATACCTCCACACGTCGTGTGCGCGTTCACGCGGCAATGGCGAACTCAAGGCAAGGTGATTTCCTGCTCAAGGGAGTGTCGGGGCGGTGCTCATCTCCTGCATAGAGGCCCGAGCCAGTGGTGGAAATTCTCTATTGCTTTGGCGGGGGGTGAGGCTATCTGTAGGATAACCAGGCTGATTTGACGGAAGTACTTAATACTGCGAAATACCCAAGGTTAATATGACAACGCATCCATGAATCTAATCAGGATGAGGGGTCGTTGTCATCGGAACAAATTGGGCTCTAGTCACTGGGTACTTGCTATGAATTGCAGCGCCACAGTGGCGAGATGTTAACTACCTCGCGTGGTACACAGGATGTCGTGGGTTCGATCCCGACCCTGACTCCTGTATATTTGGAGTTTGCATGCTCTCTCTCCCTGTGCTCGCGTGGATCTTTTTTCCAGGACCTCCGGTTTTTCCATTCAGATTTAGAACATGCTTTGTAGAGTATTTGACTGCGATACATTTCCACATGATAAGTCACTTCGTTGAGCTATGATTTGTGGCCAGGTCACTTCTGAAAAAAGAGTTATATAGCGCAATGGGCCTTACCTGCTAGAATAAAAAAAATAGTTTAGAATTGTAATTGTTCGTCAGATATTAATTAAGGAAGCTTGCAGGAACATCACTCGGTATGTTTGTAATGCAACGATACACCCCACCGCCCCCCCCCACTTCCCCTCTCCCCCCCCCCCCTCGGGTGTTCAATGAACTATCACGATTAGCACGAGTTGGCTACGTACGGTGCGAAAAGAAGTTCAACATTATATCTACACGTACAACCGTCACCATTAGGAGGATCGAATCGATCTTTCGTGTCTAGTTTACTCTCTTTAGTGTGTGCTGTCTGCCAAAGACAAATTGTACATTTATCAATTTGGCAAATACACCGCCTCCGATTTGAATATCCTTTTTCGCATCTATCAGTCCAATTTCCAGCATACGCCTCTCCACGCTTGGTTGTGACACTTTTCAGCTTTAGTTCCATTTTCTATCACGAGAGTCCTTGCGTCCTAACCTAAGTGTCATCAAGGGCAGGCTGCGTGCTCTGCCTTGCGTGTTCGATCGTGTTCATTACATCAACGTAAGTGCGCACGAGTGCGTAACTGGCGTACGATTTTGCATCGTCGATCATAAATGATAAATTATTACATTGCATGATTCGATGCAATAATGCGGGCGTGGGTAACCTTTCACCCAACGAAATAAGGGATTGTTATGTGCAGGTCTAATCATCACCGTCAATGTAATAATTGTCACTCTCAGTTTGAGAGATCACAGTCAATATAAAGCAGGGATATTAATCAACAGCACCGTGACCATTGTTGGAATCAGTGTCATCATGACCATAAGTCGTTGTCATCACTATTATCACTGTCACTGCAATCATAATCATCGCTCTACAATGAACGGCTGTGTAATGATTATCCCTCGTTGACTTAATTTAATGAATTGGCCAAATTGGGGGTGTCAATTAAATTTAAGTGATCGATTCTTTCCTTTCCTTTGTGGTCCTGCAGGGTTCACGTGAAAGCATTACACACAATGTGCACACATTGAAAATAACACACCCTCACACATATGGTCCAATGTGTGTGTGCGTGTGTGTGCATAGTGATCTTAGGGAGCAGTATTGTAGCGGATTGCACGCTGCGCTACGAACCCGGCGACCCGAGTTCGATTCCCGCTCACGGGCAACATTGGTGATGATTATCTGAATCGGTCCTGGGCCTCCCATAGCTCGACTCAGCCTCAAATGAGTACCTGGTGCGGTGTACAAACATCGCTACTAGGAAGACAAAGGCGGCCTGGCGTGGTGTTGACCACCCATCCCCTCGTGTGCCAAGCCGGCAGGCCTTCATAGGTGCTCGCTAACAACACTTGCCCCAACAGTCTGTTAAGGCTTTATGGGGGATCTGCATTTATGTCTATAGTGAGCGTGGGATTTTGTTGTAATCAATGAATCAATGCAATGTTTACATGCCCTATAAATACAACCGTAATCATAATGAGCAAAACCAGTTATCAATATTAATACATGCTCACCAGGATTACTATCATTAGCATCGTGCAATCGTCACCACTGGAATAATTAGCATCGCGCAATCGTCACCACTGGAATCATCGTCATCATCATTATAATCATCGTCGTCGTCGTCGTCATCATGCTCTGGATGGTGGAAGAAGGTTCATGTCAGGATCTGTGTTCGTGCTCAAACTCGGTCAGGACCCCTGGGCTTGACGCACATCACGTGGGCAGTAGGCGAAATAATAAGCGACGCTGACGCGCGCGTACACGCGAACACCTACACTCAAATCCCTTCCGCTGCTTAATTATGAAATGAACCAAAGCTAAATTAACAGCATTTCCCATTGCTACATCAGCGAATATTAATGTTTGCCAAAATTATGCAGCAATGAAAATGATGAGTTCTGCTTTTTGATGTTCCCAAGTCTGTGAGATAATATCGGTTTGACTCCATTGCGGTGTTTATACCTCCACGGGGTTTATCGTACCTAGTGAAAAGAAATCGACACTTACAGCACCGACGTTACCCGAGCGGCACCACTCTACGTTTAAGAGGTGACAAGAAGGCGTTGAGGATGTTAAGGCATGAGTAGAGCGGAGTAAACACACCGCAGGAGCGAGGTGGATTGTGGCATCGCAGAACCCTGACGGATAGCAATTGCACACGGAGGCCTTCATCCAACAGTGGATAGACAATGGCTGATGATTATAAGAATAATAATATATTTCACTTGTAACACCCAATACAGAGAATGACTCGGAGGCGTGAGGAACCACAGACAGGCGGGAGCCAGTACCAAATTTACCCCAATGCTCTGTGGTCCTCTATATATTAAGATGCTATTGGCCAATTAATACTTAAGAAAATTCATGATTCATTTTGACGAACCTCTTATTTTGTATATACGGCAGTGACATTTTTCGCACAAGTGCTAGTTCTACATATGCAACTTTACCTGCTGAATTGCCGAAATGTTTTTGTTCAAATAATAATTCCAAAGTATAATGCGCATTCCATCCTATTATCCCAATGTGCAATGCATGAAAAGCAGGAAACAAAAAACAGAACCAAGGGCAACCGACCACACTAGAGAGGGAAGGCCACTTTAAAGAGATGGGTTTTCAAAGCAGACTTAAACATTTCTATCTACTCCGATTGCCTGACTTCAAGTGGCAAGGCGTTCCATAGTATCGGTGCCACGCTAACAAAAGGCCGATCACCAAAACAGCGCAACCTAGACCATATCTGTCAAACCTGTGACGGAGCAGCACTTGCCATGACATCGAAATATTGAATGTATTACGGTGACACCACTTGCCCCCACCCCCCATCCCCGCCTCCCATTACGAGTGTGCAAGTTCACAAGTTCATCACGATAGCTACTTGAACACGGACCATTCAATTCTATTGAGGGGGTTTCTTTACCCTTTCCCGTTCCGATGACACACGTGTATGTCGTCAGTTTTTCATCCCATTATGTTCTGATGACGTACGTATACGTAATTGGAATGGAACCGGAAGCAAAACTAAACGAAAATAACTTTATCGGTACAGAGGCTCCCACAAGGCCATGCGGCAGGGCACGTGGCACAGCTTGGCACCAGCTATCGTAGAGTGCGGTCGTGTCGCTACAGTTCTCTGGTGAGTACCATGCCTATAAAAAACAACGGCGCTACGCCTCCCTAAATTAGATTAACGCTGGGCCACTTGCGTGTTCCGAGATTCAGTGGTGAACGGGACACCACCCACCCTGCATCGTGCAGACGTCTCGGAACGGGAAAGGGTTCAGTGGTGAACGGGACACCACCCACCCTGCATCGTGCAGACGTCTCGGAACGGGAAAGGGTTTAATATTATAAAACAGGAAGAGTAGACACACAAATGCCGTGCACAGAGATAAATATAGAAAGGGGCGAAGGTGAAGAGGAGGGGGTGATTCTAATACAGATACAGACCAAGGTACAACCGCGATAACGGTATTTGACCTTCATGTCTGTGTCAAACAGAGGACAGCAAACGGCACATTATCAGTCATGGCTTCACACTAACATGCCGGGGCGTTGGAATCCCCTTTGCGCGGCATGTGTGCCACCCCGCTCACTTTTATGATGCGGCCCCCATCCTCCCGGCCACGATGGCCTCTGGGCGCCGCAGAGCACCGACGTCGCGATGACAACGCCCAATCGGCCCCCCACGGGGGGCTCCCCGATCGTCGGCTCTAAGAACTTTAGCGACCTCGGGCAGCGCTGCTAAAAACGGCGGCCCCTACAAGGGGATGGAGGCAGCTTCGGTGGAAACGAGCGAGAGACTCGCGCCGAGATTTGGACGTACAGATCCACCAGATATTCGCCCGCACATGTGCATCGTGCCCAACGCGTTAAGGCAACAACCGGTCACGTGGCTGTGCTGACAGGCACGGACATGTCCAGGTCCCCTCTTCGCCAACCCACGCTGTCCGGCATGGTGAAGTATTGTCAAACAACCCCTCACAACCGACGTGACACGGGTCGGCAACCTGCGGCTCTGGAGCCACATGCGCCCCTTTAAGCACTACTTCGTGATGTTATGTGTTCGCGTGCATTGCGGCTCTTAAAATATTACCTTTTTTAACCGAATTCGAAAAAAATGCCTCTGCTTGTTATTTTTGGTTTCCGATCCCTGCAGTATCAGATTAAAAAAGAGCTATATGTTATTGGCGTTTATTAATACACGCCGTAGGAACGTCCGAGTAGATAGTTTGTTAACGTTCGTTCCACAGTGCTCAGTCAGAGTCCTGCTGCTTGAACACTGCTGCAGGGACCGCACGCTCGGCTGGAAGAGGCCCTCCAAGACCCTGACCTTTCACAATACCCACCTCTGTGAT